GGGAACAGGGAGGGAAGCTGAGCATAATCACAGGCACAGGTCTCAGCCACAAGTCCTGGTTTTTGTAGGATGCATAAGTGGAGCCCAGGGCAATGCTTGTTGTGCAGAACAGAGGAACCTTCCCTAACACCCATTTTGGATTAAAAGAAAACAACCCTTCCCTAAGGACCAAGGGATAAGTAAGTAGCTTGCTGAGGTCAGGTCATAGCCAAACTCTTTGAGCATAATCACAGGCACAGGTCTCAGCCACAAGTCCTGGTTTTTGTAGGATGCATAAGTGGAGCCCAGGGCAATGCTTGTTGTGCAGAACAGAGGAACCTTCCCTAACACCCATTTTGGATTAAAAGAAAACAACCCTTCCCTAAGGACCAAGGGATAAGTAAGTAGCTTGCTGAGGTCAGGTCATAGCCAAACTCTTCCTTGCTCAAGTAATACTTCAGGATGCTACTAAAGCAGCAATCTCATCCTTGTGCCAACTCACCATGTGTAATTAGAGCAAATGAATGTCCTCTACCAATTTCTTATATAGTGCAGGCTATTTTTACACTCAACAAGTTCAAACTTCCAAACATACCTGAAATTAGGATAATTTTTTGCCCATTTTTTCCTTATAGAGCCTTATTCCTACACAGATCAGGTTGCACATTAGATAGAAAACATGAGCCCTCAGTTCGGTTTTTCACACAATGCATACATTAAAGTCTGTTTTAAAAAGCTGTATTCAAAACTCAAGACATGAAAAAATCATATATTGAAGTTCAAAAATCCTGTGTTCAAAAAATCAAGCCATGAGAACGGGCAATACAACAGCACTGCATGTCAGTGGTGTGAGACATTGAGGCACAGATGCAGTCATGGCCTTGAACACTTGAAGGGATGGGGAGTCCACAGCCACCCTGGACAGCCTGTGTCAGTGCCTCACCACAGGGAAGGGGAGTCCACAGCCACCCTGGGCATCCTGTGTCAGTGCCTCACCACCCTCACAGAAACTTAATATTCTACACCCTGAATTCACCTATGTAATCAGGTATTTGTGTTGTTGCAGGCACCCAACCCTGCAACCCAAGGGCAGGGTAGTCTCAGAAGAAAGAGAACAGGTAGAAATTTGTCTTCCAAACTCTTGCCCATAGTGAAGTTCTCTGGCTTTCTGAAGTTTGCTCTTAAATCCTCATAAATATTTCAAAGGAACCCACCACCTCACAGCAAAGCAGCCTGTTCGCACACCTCCAAAAAAACCTGGGGCAACACTGTACACCTTCAGTAGAAGCTGACAGCTTTGTTTAATAAGTTTAAGAGGGACCATAAAACACTGTGAGTTCAGAATGGATGCCAATTAATTACCCACAAAACACCAACATTTTAGAGCATTTTTCAGTTAATAAAATGCAGACCCATAAATTTCACACAATTCTCCTCTGGCTGTGTCAAAATACAATTCCTGTCCTCAGCTCCTATTCATAAGATTTTTGGCTGCATGTCTGAGAGACAAAATGCACAACTATCTCTCCAACAGAGATTTCTATATTGTCTTAAAGCTCAAAAGCTTTCAAAGAAGCAGCTCAGAAGCTTTTTGAACATGTTTTTGGTGGCAATGTTAGGTAGGTGGAGGTGTGGCCTCTGCTCTGGAAAATTAAAGTGACCATATGGAAAGTGGTTTGATTGGTCCACTGCTCAGACTCCAGCCTACCCAGTGCAGTGAAAAAGGTACAAGAAGTGCCAATGTTATGTCAAGCTTTCCCACTGGGAATGTTTCTTTGCAGCCCCAGGCAGCAAATGGTTTTAAGCAAATGGCTGAACCCTCTGTATACGTTTCTATCTTTATGTAGTTTCTGTCACTTATTATCCATTTTTAATCCTGCTAGGCTCTTTGTCTTAATGGTATCTGATGAATTTCCCAGGTTAATTATGCACCATGTAAGAAAATATTTTACTTGTATCACTTTTAAATTCATTAGCTTTTAGTACTATTGTATAGCACTCCACTTGCTCTTGATTTATGGGAAAGGCTAAATAGGATCATCTGACTGACCTCTCCTGGCAATTCACTCTCCCATATACCACTAACACATCACCTCTCATTTGTCTCTTAATCAATTTAACCTTCCCTCGAATGGAAGCTCTGCCACACCTCTTATAACTTGCTCTGTCTTTCACTGGATGCTCTGTGTATATACTCTGTCCTTTTGAACAAAGCTCAAAGGATACAAGGCAAAAGGATCCTTAATATTTTCATTATTGAACACTTTACAGCTCTAAAAGAAACAAGGAGCTTGTTTGTATCTGCTTTCTCCTCTGCACTGAAGAACTGAACTGTCCTTAGTGCATGGGCCAGGTTCACAAGGGAATTTGAGGGATTAAATGTTATTT